AAAACTTGCCCCGTGTGGGAATCGAACCCACGATCGCCGAGTTTACTACTCCTGATCCAGCATGACTAAACGGAGGGAGATAAACCGCGGCCCCTAAGCCATAAATGCGATAAACCTAGTACCACACAAAGTACCAGTTAGTCAACTCTAATCTTACTAGAAAAAATTCTTCGTATATATACACTGCAGGCTAATATTACGCATGGTCATGGTGTCAAAAAAATGGGCCGTGGGCCAAGAGGGTTTGTTTTTTGTCTAAAAATGTATAATTAAATATATAATCGATTTATGATTGTTACCATCTCCATAACTTACACACTTTTTTTTAAATAGACAAAATTGTTGGAAAAATTCATTATGCAAATTACAAAAAAATAGACCAATCATGTTACGGGATTGAATGTATTGTACTCGTTGATGACGTCGCGAATTGCGAAATAACAACAACCTTTCATGTCCCAGCCTGGGAACCAGTCAATTCGAGCGAATGTCACTTCGAGTGAAGGCCAATTCGAGCGAATTCGAGCGGATTTTCTTTCGAGCGGATGCTAGTTCGAGCGGAAGAAGATCCACTTGTGCGAACAACAATCTGTGCAAGTTATATACGAATTACTTTAAAATTTCTATTATTTCTATTTTTGAGCTAACAATTTGCTCAAGCTTTGCCTGGGAGGCAGGGGAAAGCCCCAGTCGGTTCCGGGGAACCGACTTATGTATAGCAAGTCGTATTTAATGGATTTTTAGGTTAACAAATAATAAAGTTTTATTTGTTCTGAATGTATATGGTAAGTGAATTCTATTGGGAATAGGAATTTCCTTTATCTTAGAGTAAATAAATAAATAAATAAACAAACATACCCACATTCATAAAAATAATGCTAACTTAGTCAATGTTATCCTTTCCACAAGTTTAAAAAAAACATTGGATTTTGAACTTCAGAAGAAAATTGGTATGATATCATTATTACTGTACTGTTGATACTTGTCACAGGGGCGGATATAAAATTTTTCAAAGGGGGTGGGGCACACAACAATTCCAGAATAGATAAATGAGTAGCACATAACATTAATATGCATTGACATTTTTAAAATAGTTGCAAAACCGCCCCTGTCTCACAATACTACACCATTCATTTGTGCACCTTTTGACAAACCTACCTAAATCGTAAATCTACAAGTACAATTACAAAATTATATGATTCAATTACAAATATAGTTTGCTTTTTTTAAATACAAAACCCCAATCAGCGGCGGATCTAGAGGGGGGGGGGGTGTGAATATGGTGGCTAGCCACCCCCCTTTGTTTACCGTGAACAAAAAATAATGGTCACTCGTCTTGTGTGTGTGCTTCTCGTGCACTCTAGTAAAACATGCACTTTCTTTTTTAAGCATTTCAATTTGTTGCTTGAAGTTTTCTCAGGGCATTGCCGATTTAATCACCAAATTGGAGGACTTCGTCTTCGCTTCGCATCTTTAAAAGCTATATTAACTATTAGCACATTACAGTGGCGGATCCAGGTGGGGGGGGGGAGGTCATAAGGTTCGGACGAACCCCAATCTGTGAAGAAACGTAATAAAATACTATGGGTCCTGGCTTACAAAATTCATGCTAACTAGACGCGGATCCAGACCTTCGACCCAGGCGAACATCATGAATACATTTTAGATTCAATTCACTGCAAGTGGTCGATGATCTGACTGTTCAATTATTGAATGGTAAATGTTATTTTCGTGACGATAGACAATACCTCGATTTGCGTCAGGAGAATCAATTAGGGGGCCTTTTTATATGTATTTTTCCCAACCTGTCGTGAAAATATATTGAATACTCAGTGCGTGATTCAATATACATTTTTAAATCACATTTCTAAAGCAATAAAATATCGTCACGCACATTTGTATTTGTGGTATCACTGTGTCCCACTATAGGCAATTTGGCAACCACTGAACACAATGAAAAAGAATAGGATTATCTTGGAAAATATTAAACAAGATATTTATAGCTTATCACTGTGTCCCACTATAGGCAATGTAGGGCACTGAAAAAAATTGTTGGATCATCACCCCCGCGTGAAAAATTCGGGAAATATTGATGCGGGATAAAAAATACTTTGCCGCATCAATTATTTTAACAGCATAACACAATGCAAATCTGTGACTTCAGATACATTTCTTTAAAAAACTATAAAATTTAATCCAGTTTTTATACAATATTTATTATTACTAGCCAAATATAAACAGTCCCTCCCTCATCAATTAAAACAAAGCGAAATAATCAATTGTTCGGATTAAAAAAATATTTTATTTATTTTTTTTTTTAAAGAGTGATTTGGCAACCATTGGACACAATATGAAAGAATAGGATTAACTTGGAAAATATTAAAAGATATTTATAGTTTATCGCTCTGTCCCACTATATCCAATTTAGGGCACGGAATAAATTGTTAGATTATCACTCCCCCGCCAACC